AAGAGGAAGTTACGCAATGCAGCGGTAGTGCATGTGTCGGGTTCTTCTGAAATCTTGTCTGGCTCTCTGCCCGCTGGATACACTATTGTTGGTTACGTATTGTTGCATTATTGTTGCATTATTGCTGATTTAACACTGGTACTAGGATTCTTCAATGTAGTGCCAGACTCCCAGTCCCCGTCCTGTACGGGGGAGAGGAGTCGAAAACCCCTAAAACAAAAATCCACCAAAACTGCCCAACGTTCGAAGAGACCCCGAGAGGTGTCAAGCGAACACGAAACAGTACACCACAGTGAAGCAATGTAGTGCACTTACTCTATGCAATTCTATAATAAAACCACGTCACGCGATACTGAACTAGTCGTAATGTTCTGAAAATCCAGAAAACGAATCTAAAGGATGAAAAATGATTCCATCGAAGGATTCACTGGAAGTTCGGCACTAAGTTTTCTGAATTAAATCAAATACTGGCAACTTTTATATCACCAGAAAAGTTGAAAAGTATTGAAAATATAATATAAAAAGAAATTTGATACATTTTCATTGTAGTAAAAAAGTTCGTAAATTTGTTAAAAAAATATCATATTAACTCTTTTCTTTTCACCCAATATTGCGTGCGAGATTTCAGAGAGAAACGAACATTTTAATTCAGATGGAATACATTACATGAATATGACTCGCAACAGCTTCCGCCAGAACAAATAATGTATGAATGTGTCACCGAATTTCACGCCGTAGAATTAGCGTCTATTTCGATACCTCCAAAAATGAACAGTTAAAAATAGTGGATTACTTGTAAAACATCAAACAATAATGAGGAACCTGTTGGGCTTCGCTTATTTCTATTTATCTAAAGAATGATTGTATTTTTTTATGAATGTGATACTTGTTTAAATGTTGACTGAAAGGTATTCTGCTGTCTTATTTACTTGTATACTTGTATTTTAAGTTGTTATTCTATGAAAACAATCCCTGTAAAGCAGTTATGCTGGTCTGTGGAAATAAATATATAAATAAACAAAAAAAAATAGTGGAGGTAGCAGTAGATAAAACCCAGCGATCGTTACATCAGCCACAATCATGCAATGGTTATGTAGTCACTGCACTGATGTGCGAGGGTCACCAATACGCAACCTCTTTGGTAAGGTCACAAAGTGTGCACATGCTTACAGCCAATAGCTGGAAACTCGTCACACATGTTGGTGCGGTAATATGGGCTGTCTTGCGGGAAAAGGCGGGGTAGTTTAGGAGGCAGTAATTTAGCAAATGACATGCATCTAGCAATACCCGACACGGTGTTACAATCATCCGACGAAAGTGTGGGCTTGGACGTTGAAACTATGTGTACAGGTACTTTCTAGTGAACGCGACTTTTGTAGCTTCTTTCAATGCAATTTTGATAGTTACACACTGTGTCACGTTACAATGTTTGTTTGTTACCATGAAGAATGATTGATATTGCATTAGAAAAGAGAACGACAGTAAAATTGTACGAATTATACGAAATTTACGAGTAATATAATTATACGAAAAATGTATACTTGTGATATCACACGAATAGTAAGAATTGAAATTCTGGGACACAAGTTCTAATTCATCTCACTAATCATCATACTTCGCACTTGGGTAATTACAAAAAAATTAACATATTTTATTTATTTCCTTTTTTTGAAAAATGTTAAAGAAAACTTAAACAGCGGTATGTAATAATTCGCGTGCTCTTCTATTTTTATGCTCCACATTTTTACTATGCTGTTTTTGCTGTTAGGTCTTTTGATGTGTGTTGTATGTGAATGAATGTTTTGATTAATAGAATACTTGAATTTATTCTATTTTCAAGAACAATGTTTTTGTAGATTTATCATAATGTGCCTGAAGAGAAACAGAAAATTTCAAATTACAAAATGCGTAGAAGAAAGTGAACAAAAAAGTAAAAACATAGACTTAGAGCATATCGTTATAAAAATATATTTAAATTCAGAAAAGTAGTGAAACAGTTGAATTTGAAAAGAGCGGCAACTACTTTTACAAGGTGTGTTAAGAGCTAGCTTACATGTTCCATGGGCTTTACGAACGCCATTCAACATTTTACATTTGTGAAACAGAAGATGAATGAAGGGTGCTTTGAGTTCCGGAAAGAAATACTTTACTTGGAAAATATTTAAATTAATATTTAGGCAAATAAAAATAAGGCAGATGGATTAATTTAATATGAATCATTGTCTTACTTCTGTCAAATGTGTTTCATATTTGGCGTTTATTATTAAAAAGAAAGTGGACCGTTGATGAACTTCTAACCAGTAAAGTCTTATTTATTACTTTAATGTTAATAAGTATAATTCTAATCTATTTATGTAATGTCTTGGTACGTAGGGGTGCTCTCTAGTCGGATATGGGCGCAAATTCAGTCATTTTCCATGGATACCAGTAGACCTAGAAGCGTCTCTAAAAATTGTTATTATTTTTTAATGTACAGTAAGTCTGCTATGAAGTGGAAATCTGTTATTTGGGTACTGAAACGTTTTTTTATGATACTATGTGACAATTCTCATTCATTCGATGTGCAGTGTGAAATGCTGAACATAATATGAGAATGCATTTCATTCATGTGTAATCCACAACACTAACTTCAAAAGATTACTATGCTGTTGGGATTTCTGGGGCAATTTGAAATAACACATGCAATTTGTACACAAACACTATTTGAATTCCCCAAAAGTGATTTATTTTCTCGAAACAAAATATTTTATAAATTCTCGTGCTCATAAAACCGTCATCTGCCCTCATGCTCAGTGTTGCATTTAGATATCTACGCTTACGAGTACAAGAGGAAGTGGTCGCAATTTCGTATCGGATGAACGTCATTGAATCAAGGTGAGCAAGAACCGCCCATGATGACTTGAGGTCAGGGTCGTTTGGTGACGTAACTGGCGGCGTCACCATCGCCTCATCCACGAACTTTCTCGTAAACCATGAGGTATTGAATTAATGCCTTATTTTGCGTGACGAGACTCGGGCCGTCAGGCCCGCTCTTCCGTCTGACCACGCAAATTTCGCTACGCTCCTTTCACCTACTAGCAGAGGAAGGAGGCATTTTTTGGGCGAGATACATGCGATTTTTTTGAATTTAGCTCAGAGGCGTCATTTAGGCTTGAAGATCTTTTACATGCAAGTAAATCTACTAACATGGGACAGACGGCTTTGCTTCCCCTCCGAAGGAAGGCGAACGATGGATTTTTCGCCCTCAAAAACGGCTTTGATCGGGTATGAACCCGCCAACTTCGGTATACCAGTCCGACACGCTAACGGTTACACCATCAACGCGTACAAGGTATTCCCAAGTTGCTATTCGTCATGGTCCAAGAAGTTTTAAAAACATTTTGTTCTAATTGAAATTACGATTCATGCGATAAAATTAAGATTGTACGTAGGTGTAAAGCTAATGTAAAACATGATGTTCCCGCAAGATTTCATGCAGTTCCACATACGTGTGAAAATGTAATGGACACGAAATCAAAATAATCTATTCCACATAATGAATTCATTCTAAATCATTCATAATCATTTATTCCCTCAGTTTTGTCAGCCTGGATGGCCTAGGATACTTAGTTAGTGAAAAAAGTATTTGAAATCTATCTACTAATCTTTTGTAGATGGTTTACAGTCGTCGATGTTATGCTCACAGAAGGAAATAACAATAATGCTTCCATTGATTATTTACAGGTGTTGCAGAAAATATTCTGTCGAGAAAAATGACTAAAACATGATTATGTTGAAGGCGAGCTTTGAACCACGGACAAAAATCGCGCCTCCCTCTGCGATAGTTTTTTTCATGAGTTTTAATAATGTAGTTACAAAAGCGCAGTCACTACTATATAGCTTGGTCAAAATGAGTATTGGTTAATCGCATGCTACTCATTAACTCATTAACACTTACAATCGAGCATTGTTTATTGCTTTTAGTTTCGCGGAAACACTGACGTACTTCAGGATAGTGAAGCATATTATTAATTCTCAAATTATCTGGCAATTTTGTTTCTCGGTACTTTCAAATCTTGATCACCGAGCCACAACGAATCACTAATGAATCGTGGTAATGTCAGCCCGCATAAACTGTACATTCTTGAGTAACTCAACACCAAGCGCTTGTACTATCAGGCTTGCGTTTGTACTGTCAATTTTCCACTGGATGTTTTCCACTGTGAAAGATAACGTAGTTTATGGTGTCATAAACAGCCACAAATTGTTGAAATGGATATTTTGGAGTAATTAATTGTATGGAGAACATGCAGATTCTTCATGAATAGACTGTCTCGTCACATGTTTTGTGATGGCTTCGATTAATTCGATCAACGGAGCGTATGAACGTAAATTCCAGATCAAATATGACAACATCAGAGCCTGAAGTAATAAAACGCAATTTGCAGTACAATGCAGCCTTCACACAGGTTCCGTCGCAAACCAAACATATCATTGAGAGACCTACTTCTGTCAGAATCAATCAAACTGAGGAGCGCCAAACGTTTAAAAATTCCCATCATCATGCCTCCTATAATTATCCACAATGTTATGTTTCACATGAAATCCACAAAAATACCTACAACTCATGGTTCTCATTTGACAAAACGTAAATCGGTTAGTTTCACATGCAGAGGCGTATCTGCGGTATGACAGTCACGGCGCGATCCGTGGGTGCCACTCACAGGGGAGGCTATTTAGAGTGTAGAAGCTAAAACAAATAACAACGAACCTAATTTGACGTATCCTGACAGGAGCGCAAATTCCATGCTTGCCGTGGGCGCCTGAATAGCTAGATACGCCTCTGTTCGCATGAGTCTTTCGCATCTGGGACACCACCACACTGGGTTTGTCCCTCATACGTTTCACATGAAATCCACAAAAACACCTACAACTCGTGGATCTCATTTGACAAAACGTAAATCGGTCAGTTTCACATGCAGAGGAGTTAGTTTCACATGCATTATAGCGAGTGTACTCACCACAGACACTTAGACGAGAAGTCCTCTCCACCAGGTGCCTCCCGCGTGTGGTTGACAGTGAGGGTCCGCGCCTGCCGGCGACGGACACGCGAACCTAAGACCTGACGACGCACCGGCACTAGGACAGCGACTTGGACGGCGGCGGCGGTGGCGTCGGGGTCTCCGTCGGCGCGTGGACTACCACTCACTGGCGCTCGCCTCCACACCGCTCCTCCGCCACGGCCTCCACGGCCGCCGCCGCCGCCACCGCCACCGCCGCGGCTACTCGAAGTGGGGGCCGTGACGTCATGCGAGTGGTTTCGAATCGTTTGCTCGCGGGTATTGCGTCGCGGGCGGCCGCGATCGGGCCCTCCGGCCGAAGACAATCTACTGAGAGGCTACTGTAAGAAGACTCTCAGAGACTCGAGAGGCTACTGTAAGAAGGGACCGCTTTGACAGCAACTGCTTGGCCACTTCTGGCCAAATCACTGCAAGTTACGTTCATGCACTCATTGTGTCGATGCGTTCATTTACAGTTCCCTCATTTCTAAATAGCTTCATCAATATATCTTGCAGTGACATCGCCCTGCATGACGTTTATTTGTTTTCCGACCTGGCAAAGTGGTCCTTTCTTAGAGTACTTCCTCTGTTCGATGGGCACAGGAATCGAAGGGTCCGAAGGATCCAAGAATCAGGGATAGAGCGTCTGAATAACTCCTGCTAGAAAAGAAGCATTGTCTCTTCAATTATTAATCTATGAATCTATACCTATGTATTTCTTTCATGACTTCTACACGGGAATATTAAAATCAAAGAAACTATAACAATTTGTTTGAAACGAGAACACTCCTAAGTCCGTTCATAGGATGTTGACATTATGTGCTGCGTAAGCAAATATGATATTCATTTTATCCATCTCCCTGGAATTGTGAACGCCCTGGGTAACCTTCTAAATTATTCCCTGTGTAAGCAAATGAGAGTGGCGGATCCAGGGGTTATCTAAAGGCATTTATCCCATAGATATTTCATTCATTTAAAGCTTAGAATAAAAAAAGAACATTCTAATTCAAAAATATTTGTCGGAAAAGGGGATGAACTGAAATTGCTCACCCGCTCTTGAACACTGAAACACTTTCTCAATTTTCCCAGGCATAACCAATAGGTTTAGGAACCTGGTTAGTCCGACCGGGTTCCTAGAGGCCATGAGACTCTCAACACACATTCGGGTTTCCTGACTGTTTTGCCATTCCTTTGGTTAGCATTCCGAGCAAATACGAAGCTCCGTCGCCAAAATCCGACGAATACTCACGAACGAAAGCTTTCAGCTTCTAATTTTCTTTAGAGACCGGCTACTGATTGCTCTTATTCTGAAGGTTCATGCGCGTTCATGGCTACTCGTTATCCACGACAGATAAGCTACTCGCACCACCCAGCACACCATCGTCGGAGCAATGACGTGCTTCCCCTGCGTGTGTATGTGTGTATGTGCGTGTGTGTGTGTGTATGTGCGTGTGTGTGTGTATGTGTGTGTGCGTGTGTGTAAGGGATTGATTAATGTTTTCCGGCACGTTAGTTATGGTCATTAGTCCCGTTTCTATAGTGAATGTTTTATTTGTGGAGGTTGTGGCGTTCCTTCGCATGTTGATGGTGAGATCCAGCGCCGACCTACATATCGGCTTACGGGGATTCCCCCTCCAGATTTCTCCCCACCTGCGGGACACTGCGCGTAGAACACGTGTAGAAGTGTAATGCACATTCGTGTAAAGATTTATAGGGGGAGAGGACAAGACATGGAAGGGAAAGGTTAAATTACACACGGTTCAAGGCCCGTTTCTTCGAGTCTAGCACCGGGATTCGCATTGTATTTTTAGGAGAAACCACGGACAACTACCGAATGGAACACCCGGCCGCTAGAAGTCTCCTCCAGACACTTGATTCGACCTATTATAACTAGTGTTGAAAATCCAGACAACGGATACATTCGACCTACGACTGCTAGTGTCGAAACTCGGTCACCGTCAGAACTCGAAACTTGGGATTTCCTGACCAGAGTCGCTGCAGAGGAAACAGCAATGCTTTCTCTGAGCCAATTCAACCTATGGGAGTGGATGCAGACGGTTGCCGGCCATCTGAGCAAAATTGGGAGAAAGTGGGCGATTTCAAGTCATACAATTAAACGACGAGTAAAACTCATGTATCATAAGCCTGGAGGGGCCGCTTTACAACTTGCATTCCCTTGAAAAGATGTCATTGCAAGCTTCGGAGTACATGAGAATGTTACTTGCCCGCGTTACCGCGTATCCTGGTTATCCGTATCCCGAAGGCGCACACAAGTTTCCCGACTCGCCCCTGACTCCTCCCTCGTTTACCGCATTTTATGTCCTCACTTTCGCAGCCGTTGTCTCTCTCCCCCGCCCTTGCATTTTGCCTTTGTTTATGTGCAAAATCAGCTTCTGTCTGGATGATCGTCACTATCTGCCCTAAACTACATTCAGAATAAGATTAGTTATAGAAACTGTGGCGTCGTTAACACGAGGGCCAGAACCGTTAGGTCGGTGAAAGTACGCTGCGGGGGAGGAAGGGGTTGAGCCTGAACTTCCGGGAGTTTGCGCTCTGGCGGTTGACTCAGGTAGAGCCGCAGAGCCAAAAATACCGTAGGCTGTAAACTCCGAGGATGCTAGCCGGCGAGCCTCGCTTACGGAAGCAGGCGAGCCAACCCTGAGAATCCTGTGTGTGGGCGTAAACCAAGCTGCTGGCCAGCGAGCCTCGCGGCCGCCAGCCGGCGAGCCTATCTATAGAACGGTGGTGGGGGTGTCAACCTCAACTATTTAACGCGGCGCCATCTGCGCCCGCGTTCTCATTCAGTTTGCATCGGGAAGCTTGTACGTGCGTACAAGGGGTGTAGGAGTGTGGGCGAGATGTCCGGAGAGTAAGGGCCAGACGATCTCGCGTGCTGTAGGCACACGGTCGCCACGACCGGGTTAAATTTTGGCGTCAGGCCATGTGACGGTATTTGTCACGGGACGGGGGTCCGACACCGCGCAGCACGCGTGGCTTGTATTTTCTACGGTAAAGCAGTGTTCTGAAAGGAAAAAGTTGCCGGAGTGTTTTAATATTAGCAATTCATTGTAACTTGTACATAATCTTTAATATATTATTTTTCTTTTGTTATTGAAATTTATTTCTTATTTCACTACGTCACAAAACCTTCAAAGTACGGACAATCGTGAACACAATTCGGATTATCCCCCGGGTTATGATCACAGAGAATCGTGTTTAGGGCGGGCAAACAGCGCACTGTCATATAGCCCCCAACGTGTGTGGTATTAATTAGGATCTTTAGATGGGCGAGGACAGACATGTATTTTCTGATTATTAGTGATTGCCTATGCCATGTGAATTCCTATACTGCACTGTTGAACTTTGGGAATTTTGTCTTCGTTTGAGGCAGTATAGGATTTTTCCATGTTTTTTTTCTGTAGTTCTTAATAAGTGTCGAACTGACGTCCTTCACGGCCTATCTTTAATTTAATCGTCGATTATTCATATTGAAAGGTTCATAAGATTTTCTGATTACCTATTTGTATGACGCAATATGGTTGCGGAACGGAAATCAATAGCAGGATTGTTGCCAAAGTATGAAAAGTTGAGTAACACCCGACAAAATAAGCTAAGTACTTTTGCCAACAACGTATAAAGCGGGCTGAATGCTACGACCATTCTAGTAATGAATTTGACAGCTGTTGGAAAATAACTGAATTCTTTATTCCAAATGAAGAAGCGGATGTTATTTCAATAGTGAATCATTATTTTGATGACTGTTGCATTGAAATTTGACAACCTAACCTTCAGTTATCAGAATCTGAATCCATAAATAAATCATCTACGAGCAACATCTACGATCAGCAAAATATCATATTGCTTTATAAACAATTTCTTTTAGTTTATTTGAGTCGCTTTTGATAGCTTCATCTTCATTGCGAGATGTGACGTTGATTATTCTCTACGTAGAATAAGAACAGGTTTTCCAGTCGTATCCGCGCCAAATTGAAGCGACGATTTAAGACGAGTGCAGTCATCGACGATGTCACGAAATATTGTGTAGTTCGACACGCTATATTAAAGGTTGCGCATTTTTTTGCAATTTCGAAAGTGTAAGGCAACTGCAAACAGCCACATTCCCCGCAAACTTCCGTAACTACATTTTGCAAGAGACTTCTGACATCATTACTCCTTATAGATCTTGAAATCGTCAATGTGTTCAGAAATCTAATGGGCATTTGCAGCAAGCGGCGAGGATATATTTGTCTTACAATTTGCTGCTGTGTGTACCGTAGGTCGGGAGTTCTAGTATTTGACTCTCTATCGACATATCTCTGTCTTTGCAGATTGTGGAAAGGAATAGCACAGTGATGCAAAAAAATGTAAAAAAAAAAAACATGGGCGACAGTGAAACGTAAACTTTGGAGGGAAACATTAAAGAAAGTAATTTGAAAACTAGTACCTCCAAGAAATGTTATTTTGTCACAATTTATTTTTGCTTTTTTAGTGTTAGTGAAGTGCATGCCGGAAATTAATAAAGATTCGTTATGTTCAAGATATTCTTAAATGTATCAATTTCCTACTCTGAAGAACTTTCAAAACGATTTCTTACGAAATAGTCACACGTATATGAATATAAGCACTATGGGATCATCGTAACCTATCAAATACTGCAAATTTTGTGATGTCGATTGGACCAAAGGTTGACTTCAGATGGTCACTTGCCGTTATAATTGTGGCTGCATCAACGTTGAGACCATCCACCAGATCTCTATTTGAGTCAGGTGATAACATAAAGTTGTTTCAGTGCGATGTTGTTCCTAAATATGTTTTCAGTCTTCGAAAGGAACTAAATATTCGCTTTTTTTGGAAGCGCCATCAAACGTATACCCCGACGAATTCTAATAGTTACGTCAATCTAATTAATAAGTTGTGTACATTAATAGTAACAATGGAATGAGAATAAAGCGACTCCCCAAATACCTCTCGTCAGCGACACCCGCGAAAAAGAATACTGAATTCAGGATTCAACGCTCATTCATCATACAAATAAACGTATACTGAAAATCAGAAACATTGTTCAAAATGACCCCGTCTCGTATTGCAACAAGTGAGGGTGCTTAAATTATTTAAATGCTAGTAAAAAGT